CCGCCACGGGTCCGTAAGCGGTTGACGCTGCCTATCGGACATTGTTCCTCTCCCACTCAAACACTCCCATACGAATATTTTCTTTGACCTCGGAGGGGGGGGAGAAAAAAAAACAAAACAAAACGATAAGACCACACAGCTGAGCAGGATGTGTGGTCGTCTTGCCCGGTCGGAGATCGGATGACGATGAAATTCGGCCATTCTGAGACAAGTGACGGAGGAGATCTCTCTTTTTTTTTTCGTGTACGCACGTTCCGTCGCCATACCATCGCAGAATATGCCGCGTCGACCGAGTGGCGCGAGAAAACATTGGCGAGCGCCGTCCGCCGGCGCCCAACGTCGGAAGCGCCTTTTGTTTGCTGGCCGCCTGCCCTTTGAGTGGCGTATTTATCCCTCCCTCTCTCCGTTTCGGCGCGGGCCTCGCGGCGCTTTTGGGCGGCTCGGCCACGCTGACGCGGAAGGTCAGTCGGCGGCGAGGTCTGCTCTTTCTTCCGCGGGAGCTTGTTTTCACCATGTGACAGCCGAGCGCCACAAAGCGCAGTGCGGCGTTTCCTCCCCCCGTCACTCCCGTCCGCCCGTTCTCGGTCTTTTGCCCCTTATCGCCGCATTGTTTATTAAAGGCGGGATATTGCGCCGTCTATCCCAGCGGTGCCCTTTCTCTCGTAATATAACGATATTACGGCGGCGGCAATGAAGAAGCGTGTTTTATTGGGCCGCGACGAAACATCGAGAGCTGCGGTACGGGCCGGAGAGAGGCGGGGAGATGGCGTCCCAGATTTTCCAGGCCGGACGCTTGACGCGGCCGCCGTTCCCGTGTGAATTGTCCTCAGCGGACAGACGCTTCTGCACCCAACCGCGCGTCCCAATTTGGACGCGGTCCCACTTGGTGACGACGCGCCCGGAGGGACTTCGCGCACCTCCACTTCGCGACAGTCGTTCGTTGGAACCGTTTCCAACAAAATGGCCGCCGACTGCGTTCCGATGAAGTTTGCGTTGGAAGCGGCAGATGGAAAAACCAATAACGCGGAATTGCGACTTTGCAAGGGGTGGAAACGTTGTCAACGAGCTTCGACCGTGTACGAATGTTGGCGTCAAGCAATGAGAACCGAGACCAAATTGCGAGATGACCGTTTCGCGCCTCAAGCCCACAGAGGACCAAAAGGCGGTCTGCCGCAAAGTCGCTTTTGCGCGTGTGACCGAGCTCTCCCCACATGGGAAGCTCAACGTGATTTATTTGCAGCATCCCGTCAAAGCATCCCAACCGCTCACAAAAATGTGAGACGATATGAGGCGCCGCGCCAAAGGACGCCCGAGTGGGGGGGGAAAAAAAAGTGGGGGGGTGGGCGTTAATTATGGGGCTAGGCCAGAAGAGCGCGCCTCCCATTTGCAGTAGACATCACAATGTCACCGGCCCTAATTAGCAGCTAATGAAGGAAGCGCCACGCGGGCGCTGCCGCACAAATGGCAGCACGCTGGCCTTTCGCTGCCGCCTGCCTCCCATTCGCCGGAGCGCCATTAGCATACGACATCTCGACTCGTGGCCTTTCCATCCAGACGGCAAAGTCAAATGGCGAGCGAACCCGAGCGCAGCGCGGATGAGCGGCCGCTCGTCAACAGCCGGCGCCCGTCGCCGACGGTTGTCCAATAAACGGCCATTTTTTTTCCCCCCGCCGTCGAAACTTGAATGACAAACGTGCGGCGCTTTTTGTTCCTCTGTTCAAATTGTGCTTGCGGTGAGTACGAGTGAGCTGCGCGGAGAGATTTCGGCCCCCCTCCTTCAGCTCCGTCAGACGCTCGGTTTACGGGAAACGCCGTTCAAAGCGAAGCAGCGCTCTCGTACGCTTCCAAGTACAACCGCAGTCGCGCGCAGAGAAGAGTGGCGAATGGATTCCTCTCGCGACGGAACGTGATTCCTGCAGGCGTGCAATTCGAGGCAAAAGGACGCGTCGTCAACGTCAAGTCCTCCCAGCGTAACGGCTACGACGCAAACGGGAGCGCTCATGTCAAATGGAAACGAAGACGAAGATTCCCACACGCGAAAATAGGAAAGCACGAGAGGAAAAGGAGGCCGCCGCAGGTGAGACGCCAAGCAAACTGATTTCCCAAAAGGAAAAAACTGGCACCGTTACTCCTGATGAAGACGCGCATGCCGAAAGGGCCCAAAAGCACAATTCGGAGCTTTCAAAAAGACGCAAATCCATTCGAGAAGTCAACCATCAACAACAACAAAGCTGGGGAGAAAATCAAAAAGTCACGACGAAGAATCTCAGCAAAGCCGTTGAGAAGCGGCAACAAAAGGACGCGTGCGGCCAAACGTTGACGCCGCACACGCGCGGCCCCGATCGCTGCTCCTCAATCGACACGAAAAATAAAGCGCAAACCATCCGCGGGGTGAACGCGGCAGTACGGCGTCTTCGGAGAATTCAGCGTCACTGTCGTTTCTTCTCGAGTCGACGCGGCCGCCGTCGCATCGGGTCGTCGTTGTCAACGTTGCTTTCCCGCCTTAGGCTGGGAGGGGGGGGGCTAAGTTTGGCATCCAAAGGTTCATTCACTCCACCTTTCAGTTCATCTATCAGCAAAGTTGGATCATACGGCGAGGTTCCAAGCCTTCCCTCCTTGTCAGCGAGCACTCGGGTCCTGGCATCGAGCGAGAGAGAAATTGCGCTGCTGGCTGAGTTCGAAATAGACGACGGCGCAAAGCACAAGTGAAAAGGAGCGCTTCCAATGGAGCCGAGCGACGGCGGCCGGCCGTCGATGGCCTCATAACGCCGCGTTAGCGGGTCACCCCCGCGGATTTCCGCCTCCGCGGATGCGCGCCCGAGTCGCTGAGGCGCTCTCACATACGCTCCGTGCCAACGCGAGGGCGACCGCGCAGAGAAGAAGGAATTGGAAAATCAAAGAGTTCGCGCCGGGAGCCCGCGGCGGGAGGCGGGAATTGGCCCCGGCTCGTTCGGCGAGGCCTCTCCGGAGCCTCGGCCTTCGCGCGCCGACGCCGCGGCTGCGGGGGCTGCGCGTCTCACCCCGCGCCGGCCGACTTTTTCCAAACGTAGCTCCGGCAAAACCTCCCACGAACGAATCTCCTCGGACACGCGGGTGGATTTGCGCCGCCCTCCCTACCGCGCGCTCTCATCCGCCGCTCTTCGCTTCTCGCCCTCTCTCCGCTCGACGGTGAACCTCGCGACCTTGATTTTGCGAGCGATGGTTACGAGCTCGGTGAGTTTGCGCCGTCGCTCCGACTCCAGAATCCGGCTCCGGTCGACATTGGAGGGGCTGGCGAAGCGGGCGCCAAAGCTCGGTGGGCCCCCCCCCCGCGAAGCAATGCCACTTGCAGAATCTCACCAAAACAAGGGGGGTGGGGGGGGGTCCAAACCTGTTCCTTGGAGGAAAATGGAAGATCCACTTGAAAATTGGTCCACTTTTTGAAAGCAGCTCAAGTCGATCCAGAAAGCAATCATAGATTGGTTGTATTGTTGGTCCCTTTTCTGTTAATGCTGTGGAGGCAAATAGTGAAGCTTTTTGTTTTGGGGTGGCCGACAGCCCCCCGGCTCAGAGAATCGGGCCCGCTGAAAAACGGATAAGGGCCGCGCAAAGGGCCCCGGGCTGTAGGTTGGAAACGGCCGTCCTAGAGCGTCCGCCCGATTGAGTTCAGACTGCGGCGAAGGGATGATTGAACGCGAGGGCCGCTTCGGTCGATTCTTCCTTCCGTCTTCACTTTCCGGATTCAACGGATTTCCTCGTTGCGCTGGCGCGTCGCGAGCTTTGGTCGCAAGCCGCTTCTTTCG